ATGAAGCAAAAATGCCAGAACTCCAGGAATACCTCCCAAATTCTCCGAACGGAAAAGTGAAGGGATCTCAACACAACATGTGGCGTGGATGGTCTCCGCAAGATATGCTGAAAAATCTTCATACCAAACCAGTGCTCCGTCCCTTTGACCAGGGACGCATTTGCGAAGTTCCCATGCGATCCGATCGCCACCTGTCCAAGTTGAAATCACAGTAGGATGCCTCTGGTCACATGTGAGGTAGGCATCCGAAATGTCAAGTCCCATGAGAATCCACTGTTTCGATTCCCGAAAATTGCAATACAATGCTGGAATCAACCTTGTCACAATTGCACTAGACGCAGGAGAAAACAAACCTTCGCGAAATGGGTCCAAGTGCGCGTAATCTCTCGCCACGAGGCGAGCCCTTCGTAGCCACATGCTACGACCCTTATACATCTTCAACCTCCATGTATGCACAAAGCGAGTCGTCAGGGTTGCATGCGTGTCTGAAGCTGCTGCTTCCTGAACATCATCCAAAACATGCAAGACTCCCATAGCGTGCAATCTGTTCAACTCAACTTTCTCCGCCTTGGCATCAAGTTGCTGCAACGTATCAAAATCAAACTCGGGCTCGTCTTGCGAGCCTGGAAAATACAACTCATCCGGATCAATGTCTGCAAACATTGGCTTGGCTGGCTTCCTTTCGCCAGGCGATCCGGCTTTCTCCACTTCTGTACGCATATCAACATCTGCAGTTGAAACAGCTGAAAAATCATCATCCTCCGAATCAGAACTTCCCCAGTCTTCCCAGGTCTGCTCCAAAATCTCCGCGTCCTCGTTCGTGAGAACACCCGTCACATGGGTGTCCATGTGGTGCAGTTGCTGACCTCCAACCACACGCTTCACATCACCTGCATAAAACGGCGGTGCGGTAAGAACCTTCGCCGCTGCTACCGTCTTCTGTCTCTTCTGCGACTCCACGCGCGGCTGCTTCAAAGGCCGCTGATCCTCCAGCTCAGCAGGCTCTGCCGGCCTGCTCACTTGCGCTGAACCGCTGCCTGCTGGCACCGGCTGAGAACCGCCTGTGTCCATCTCCTGCCCCGCCTGGGCAGAATCCACTGCGTGACTGACGTCGGACAAATCCGGGCCGCTCTCATTTGACGAAGGTGGATCACTCGCTGCCTCATCACCACCTCCACCAACTTCGGGCACATGCCCCGCCTCCAACAAAGCCGAAAGAGGCGCTCCATCTTCAAGCATTGGCATCAAATGCTCAACCTGTATAGCTGCTCGGCCTTGCCTGGGCTGATGCGCAACATGTCCAGCTGTCAAACCGGGTTGCTCCCAAGAAAAGCTCGTCACACTGTCATGCATGCTCGGATCCCACCTTGCAGAATCCGGAAGCCTCCTGATTGAACGAGTCAAAATGAGCCTGCCTGCTGCCGTGGCCACGATGTGCATGTCGCTGCCAGAAACTTTCCCCAACCACATGGATTTGATCCAGGAAGGAAGACCCTTTGCTGAGGACGGCTTGCAATGCGCCAGGCAAGTCTCTCCGAAACAGATGATCTTGCCGCGGTACTCCGCCTGAGCGACCTGCTCAAAGGGCGTGATGCCTCTCTGCGGATTGTACCTGTTAAGGAGCCACGCACCATGCCGAAAACTCCAACTGTGCAGCGGATGACCTGTCTTCACCTGGCACTTCGTGTTTGCCGTGTACTGTTCCAGCAGCATCGAGGCCTGCTGACGTGTCTGCTGAACTGTCTGCTCAGCCATCCCATTTGACTGATGGTCCCCAGGTGGGGACTGCTGAGGCAAATGCGTATGCATTCCAAGCTTGCTTCTCACCTCACTGATGCGATTCTGAAGAGCCACAATCGCTGGTTCTCCATCTCCCTTGAGCACCACTTCATGATGTCCCAGTGCATTCAAAAATCTGCACACCTCCGTGACCAAGTGCTTGGTCGCCTTTCCACCCTAGCTGTTCCATTTGGGCCCCGGATTCGGGCCCCAAAAAGTCGTATACCATTCGAGCCCCGAAAAGATGGCTGGTGGACACAAATGTGCAGATTGAAATGGTGGCCTCCAAAGAGCCCCCAGAAACATCCACAGCCAAGAGCCCCGGGCCACGAAAAGTTGTTCGATTCGGGGCCCCGAAAAGCTGTTCCTTTCGGGTCCCGGATTTGGGCCCCGAAAAGTTGTTTGATTCGGGCCCCGATTCGGGCCCCGAAAAGCTGTTCCATTCGGGCCCCGATTTCCCAGAGCCTCCAAAAGTGCTTATTTAACTTTAAGGATTGTTTATGACAAAAAAAATTAGGCAATGATTGTCTAATTAAGGATTGTAGAAACAGTGCTTAATTAAGCATTGTTGCTTCTGAGTTGTGCAACTTTCAATATATATGGAATGCGCTTCTTTTTTCATAATTTCATTTTACACCGTTTTCTGTTTTGTATATTGCTAGCAAGAACCTCTGAAGCTCGCTGCCCTGCGCTATATACTTCACATGTCCAGTCTAGGCACCTTGTTGGCAGCAAGAAATCTCAGCAATGTCGCTTTGGAAACTGCTGCCATGGAAAACTTTCCTCCTCTTCGTCTGGCCAGCAATGCCAATGTGTGGCCAAACGACTCATCTCGATATGTCCAAGTGTGCGCAGGATTGGTTCTGGACCTAGCCAGCTCCAGAAGTAAGTGCCCTTTGGGCTTCACTCGAAACAAAATATCTTCCCCAAAGAAACTTTCCAAGGTGCGCATGAGCAACAGAAACTTCTGCGCTGCTCGTAGGAATTTGTCAGCGTCCCAGTTCGCCGCACTCAAGCAAGCGTACATAGCTTGCAAGTGCTTGCAACCCTGCAGCATAGCTGACTCATGAGGTATGCTTGCGTCCATGTGTTGAGTGGCCAGCTGCAAACAGCACGGCACCAAAGCTCTGCTCTCTCCTGCTTTGACTCGAAGCTTTGGAACTTTCTTCTTTCCCTTGACTTCGCGTCTCAACATGGTGGGGAGAAGCTTTGGCAACCTGTCTTGAACCTTGTTGTCTTTGTAGAACTGCTGAATATCATGAAACAGCTTGGCGCATCTGACGCGCATGGAAACTCCTGCGATCTTCTGCTGCTGAATGTAAAAAAGCAAGCAGCCATGCCAGTCAGCCGTCACCCCCAAGTCGCAGCAGTGAAGGAAATCCACCTTGCAGCTCTGAGTAGTGAAGCCAGGAACTGAAAATAGAGCTGAAATCAGTTTTCCAGACTGCTGCTGCCTCAAGAAGAAATCCATCGCCGAAATCAAAGGATACCTGAGCAGACGAAAGCCAGCGCAAGAATTCTTAAGAGCAGGCTAGCCTGCTAGGGCTGCGTCATGCCTATACGAATGAACCACAAATTTTATAAGCCCTTATCTAACAATCTCATGTTGCGTTGCTGAAATCTTTCAAGTCAGTCTTGGTGGCGTTGCAAAGCCAGCAGATATGCCCCTTGGCAGACCAGCTTGGAAAATCTAGTACCTCCTTGTACATTGACCAGTCTCCTCTCATCTCTGCCAGAGCTGCGCACACTCCCGCTGGTTTGCCTGCCAACTTTTTTCTTTCGGCATCACTCTTGTTGAATTCCTGCTGCGTGTGCCTCTGGTGAGGCATTTTGTCTACTAATAAGATCCTGAAGCTCCAAGCCAATGCCTCAAAAATGCACTCATATGTCTTTCCCTTAGCTCGCATCGCCTTCGGAAAAGCACACAAGGGCACTCTCAAGCCCTTTTCTCCAAACAAGCACAATGTAATGGTCTCCAGAGTCTGCGATCTGTTAGAATTGAATGGGACTCCATCGATCCATAGCCCCAAGAGCAGCACCTTATTATGCTTGGCCAAGTCGAAATTTGCTAAATGCTGCTCCAGGTCGGGCCGTTCAGCCAAGATTGCCCGTTGGTGCTCCAGCAAGACCCGAGGGTCATTCACCTTCAACAGCACGTGAACCACTTCATGCGGCATCAGCATGCACAGCTTGCCTGGCGCCACCTGCAAATCTTGGATGTGCTGCGTTCCAGCCAAGGAAGCGTTGCCTAATACTCTGGCTGACCTTTGTCCAGATAAGTCATTGTTTAAAAAAATGTCAATCATGTCTGCTCGAAACCTTTTCTCCGGAGGAATGTCATTCACTTCCTCGCATGGCAGTGTCCTTTTGTTGTACATCTCCTCCAACAAGGAGGCTCTTCTGCCTTGCCCTACCAAACAAGCGAACACTTGAAAGTTATGGCGCTTTAGAGGCGAGCGCTTAAGAGATTTAGCTTTGCTTTATCTTATTTTGAACTGTGACTGCAGTGATTGTGGGCCAACTTCAAACTACAGCTTGAGCCAACCGGCCAAGAAAATATAAGAGACATGCAGACACATGCGCGAAGCATCTCAATGACTCGATCTGCTGCTTTTTCGTCCATCTCTAGGACAAGCCTGCAAACAAAATCCACAGGCGTGGCTCCTGTACTATATCTTCTCAGGAGAGCAAACTCTTGCTTGTTTTGTAGATCAGCTTCACTGCTTTCTCGTGCATGCTTGCCTTCTCATTCAATTCCTTCAGCTGGGCAAGCAGATCTGGCACCTCCTGCTGCTTGTCGGTTGGAAAGGGAACGGCCAGCGTCCTCACCTCTGACAAAAAGCCAGACAACTGCTGGTCAGCGTTCTCCAACTCTCCTAGCTTTTTGCCCCAGCTGTTATCCTTCAGGCCAGCGATCTCTGCTGTCAGGAGCTTTAAGTCTCCAACAGCTTGCTGAGGCGAACCCTCGCAGCTTGCAGGCTCTTTGACTCAGACTTGGCCTCAGACAAAGACGCAGACATGCCATGCTCAGCTGCAGAAGAACTGGCCAACTCTGGTCGGCCCAGCAAGTCCAAAGCCATCTTTTGGCTTGCCTTGCCCTTCATGCCCGCGGCAGTGCTTGACATGCTGCTGCTTGTCCTTGTGCCCTCAGTGTTCTTCTTGCCCTTGGTGTAAACAAAAAGGTACTTGTGCAACTGCTTGAACTTTGAGTGGTCTTGCACCTGCCTCGAGTGGCCAAAGTTCTTCTCAGATTTGGAGAGGATCTCCTCCAAAATCTCATCCTTGTCATTTTCTGACAGGCCGGCTGTGTCAATATGCTCGATTTCGAAGATCCCTTGCCTCAGCTGCGTTGGCGCAATCCCAGAATGCTGCTAGCAAGCCATGAAACTGCAGAAGAGAAAAACAAAAGCCACTACTAAGCCAAACAACCTGGTGAAGAAGTTGGTGACCAAGGACTCAGTCTCGTCCTTAATGTTAGATGTCAGGGACTCCAGGCTGTGGACCCAGCTGCAATTCTTCACTCCTTGCAGTTTGTCCAGAATCAACTTCTTCTCCTCAATGGTGCCCGCTTCGTACTCCTACCAAGGAGATCAAGCTGTCAGTTAAGTAGTGGGAGTCACTGGTTTTCTTTGCCTTCACTTGGTATTTTAGCGAAGTGAGAAGCGCGCTCACTGTGTCTGGCGTAGCCCAGCTGGCTTGGTGGGGCCCCAGACCCATCATGCTCCATGCGCGCCTGGCCATCTTCCCTTTTGGCAGCCTGGTCTGAGGCCGAGGCATCGCCAGCAGTCTCCAAAACAGGCTCCTTGACACGCTTCGGCTTTGCCTTGGGCGTTGTTCTCACTTCCTTTTTGACTTTCTTGCTGACTTTGCAGCCATAGCTTTGGCAGTCTTCCCCATTTTGGGAGCCATGATCCTTACCTGACCTAAGCTTGAGCCTTCTCAACTATTCGACACCTAGAGAAACACTGCCGCGCGCGTGTCTTCATCTTAAACACTCTGGATTGATATTCAAACTATGCGCCCATCGGCAGGTCAACAGCATCAGCATCTTGGCGCTGAAGGTTTATCAACCCGGAGAAAGGACTGCAGCCTTGGGCGGGCAGGGCCGGCTCCCCTAGAGCCCCCAGGTCCCCTAAGCCCCCCAAGTCCCCCAGGTCCCCTGGGTCCCCAAGGTTCCTTTGCAGAGCACTCTCCTCTGCACAGCACGCTTCTTTGCAGAGCACGCTCCTTTGCAGAGCACGCTTCTTTGCAGAGCACTCTCCTTTGCAGAGCACGCTTCTTTGCAGAGCACGCTTCTTTGCAGAGCGCTCTCCTCTGCACAGCACGCTTCTTTGCAGAGCACTCTCCTTTGCAGAGCACGCTTCTTTGCAGAGCACGCTTCTTTGCAGAGCACGCTCCTTTGCAGAGCACGCTTCTTTGCAGAGCACGCTCCTCTGCAGAGCACTCTCCTTTGCAGAGCACGCTTCTTTGCAGAGGACTCTCCTTTGCAGAGCACGCTCCTTTGCAGAGCACGCTCCTTTGCAGAGCACGCTCCTTTGCAGAGCACGCTTCTTTGCAGAGCACTCTCCTCTGCACAGCACGCTTCTTTGCAGAGCACTCTCCTCTGCACAGCACGCTTCTTTGCAGAGCACTCTCCTTTGCAGAGCACTCTCCTTTGCAGAGCACGCTTCTTTGCAGAGCACGCTTCTTTGCAGAGCACGCTTCTTTGCAGAGCACTCTCCTTTGCAGAGCACGCTTCTTTGCAGAGCACGCTTCCTTGCAGAGCACGTTTCTTTGCAGAGCACGCTTCTTTGCAGAGCACTCTCCTCTGCAGAGCACGCTTCTTTGCAGAGCACTCTCCTGTGCAGAGCGCTCTCCTTTGCAGAGCAACGGCTTCTTGCAAGCTCGCTCCTTTGCAGAGCACGCTTCTTTCAGAGCAAAGCTGCTTTGCAGAGGCCAAACCTTCTTTGCAGAGCACGCTCCTCTGCAGAGCACGCTCCTCTGCAGAGCACGCTCCTTTGCAGAGCACGCTTCTTTGCAGAGCACGCTTCTTTGCAGAGCACGCTTCTTTGCATAGCACGCTTCTTTGCAGAGCACGCTTCTTTGCAGAGCACGCTCCTTTGCAGAGCTCGCTTCTTTGCAGAGCACGCTTCTTTGCAGAGCACGCTTCTTTGCAGAGCACGCTTCTTTGCAGAGCACGCTCCTTTGCAGAGCACTCTCCTCTGCAGAGCACGCTACTTTGCAGAGCACTCTCCTCTGCAGAGCACGCTCCTTTGCAGAGCACTCTCCTTTGCAGAGCACGCTTCTTTGCAGAGCACGCTTCTTTGCAGAGCACTCTCCTCTGCACAGCACGCTTCTTTGCAGAGCACGCTTCTTTGCAGAGCACTCTCCTTTGCAGAGCACTGCTTCTTTGCAGAGCACGCTTCCTTTGCAGAGCACGCTTCTTTGCAGAGCACGCTTCTTTGCAGAGCACGCTTCTTTGCAGAGCACGCTCCTTTGCAGAGCTCGCTTCTTTGCAGAGCACGCTTCTTTGCAGAGCACGCTTCTTTGCAGAGCACGCTTCTTTGCAGAGCACGCTCCTTTGCAGAGCACTCTCCTTGCAGAGCACGCTTCTTTGCAGAGCACGCTCTTTGCAGAGCACGCTTCTTTGCAGAGCACGCTTCTTTGCAGAGCACTCTCCTCTGCACAGCACGCTTCTTTGCAGAGCACGCTTCTTTGCAGAGCACTCTCCTTTGCAGAGCACGCTCCTTTGCAGAGCGCGCTCCTTTGCAGAGCACGCTTCTTTGCAGATGCTAAACATGTAAGGCACCGTAGACCCCTTGTGACACACATGTAGTTCATGATTAGGTGAACGATGTTTTCCGCTTTGTGTTGGTCCATGCGAAACGGCATGTACGAACTGTGAGCCCGCGCAGGCGTCTCGGATGAAAAAAAGTTTAGCATGGTAGCGGAGCAACGACTCCTGGTAGTTCCATGGTCTCTTGCTGGTTGGCTTTATAGTGTGCTTTGAGCTTTACACTATTGTGGCCCTGAGCTGGCGAGTGGAATGGCGCAACCGAGCAGCCCGCAAAGGGCGACACCTCAAATGGCAGAGTTGGAGCAGTTCTTTACGCAGGCAAGAGCTGTCACACAGGCAGCTATGGAGACGGCGCAGGTGAATGCTGCAACGGTGCAAAATCTGATTGCGGCCCAGGTGCAGCCGCAGCAGAGTGATCCGGGATCTCTGTTGCAGGCAAAGGATCTGGCCAAAGTGTTGAGGCAGCCCAAGGAGTTCAGACCTGCCACTCGAGAAGAAGAGCTTTCGCAGTGGAAGTCATGGAGCTGGGAACTTGAGAATTATCTTATGGCCCTTGACCCTGGTTTCAAAGACGATTTTGATTTGCTCAAACAGCAGACGATGCCGGTTGACCTTGCAGATATGGATTCTCCTGTTCGACATCGGAGCGTGCTTTTATTTTCAGTGCTTGCAGGTTTATTGCACGAGAAGGGCAAACAAGTTCTTAAAGCAGTTGAACCTCAGAATGGATACGAAGGTTATAGACGTTTGCGTCAGGACCTCATTCCTTCTTCCCGCAGCAGAACTTTGGCGTTGTTACAGACTTTGAACAGCTGGCCACAATTTGACATGAGAACTGGACTTATGGCGCAAGTTGTACGTTTGGAAACAGCCATGACAGAGTATGAAGAACTCACTGGACAACCCATGGATGCAAATTTGAAATTGGCAACAATGCTTCGATGCTTGAGTGGTCAGTTGCGACAGCATACAAACCTGGTGGTTACAGATACAAGTTCTTACAACGATGTTCGCAATTTGGTTATTCGCTGGGACAGCGCTCAGACTCGTTGGCAGGAGCCCCTCTTGAAGAGTTTTGACCTTGGGGACACAAGCACAGATGACCCCATGGGCTCAGTCAACAGGCTGCAAGGGAAAGGAAAAGGAAAAGGAAAAGGCAAAGGTAAGAAGGGCCAGAAAGGTTCTGACAAAGGCGGCAAAGGCAAAGGAAAGGGCTTTGGCAACAAAGGCGGCAAAGGAAAGGGCAAATATGACACACGGAACAATCAGCAGACTTCTGGTTACGACAATCAGAAAGGCGGCAACAAGGTCGCTAGCGATAGCTGCATGTACTGCGGTAAGAAAGGTCATTGGAAGAGAGATTGTTACAAGTGGAAAGCTGAACAGGCAAACCAACATGTCAGACGTGCTGATGAGTTTCATGATGTTCCACAGCCGCCGCAGCCCGCGCAGACAACACAGCCCATGTTGACCATGCAGCGCAACAATCAGTCAGCCCCAAGTGTCGCTAGCGGTGGAGCTGGTTCATCCACCACGTACAGATCAGCTTCAAGCACAGCAACAGTCAGAAGAGTTTCAACTGTTCCCACAATTGAGCTTGATCCGGATGACAGAGCTGTTGATTTGACAATCTTTTCGCTCACCGAATGCGATAGTGAATTTTCTGGAGATTGCGGAGACGGGTATGTATCGGCGATCGCTGCATCTGCCTCAGACACCCGTCAGGTTTCGCTTGCAGATTCAATTGAAGTTTTTAGCATGAGTGCAAATGACAGTGATGATGTGTGGACATTTGCATGTGGGCGTTGCAATTTGGATTCTTGCAGTATTTGCAATTCATTTCAGATCGCTGGTGCAGATTCATTCCTGGAGGTCCGAATGCTGTCAGGTAGCAACCCATCTGGAGAGGTCGAAGTGATCCTGGACAGCGGATCCGACGTGAGCATTTTGCCGGAGGCTTGGTCTTTAATCGGTACACAGGGTAAGATGCCCCCACTGCAGTACCGAGATGCGCAGGGCAACCCTATCAAGATTACAGCCTCGCGAGAGGCCTATGTCACTCTTGGGGATACTAGCTTCCGAGAGGTTTTTGCAATTGGGCCAGTGACTTGCCCGATCCTCAGCTTCGGAAAGCTCGTCAAGGCTGGTTGGAGTTTGACGAAAGCAAGTGGCAAACATATGCTTGCGCATGGGGACAAGCGCATTTCAGTTGGCTTCAAGAAGAACTCGTTGGTAACTTCAGGAACCATCAGAGCAGTCATGGAGACAGGTGATGCCGAGCAGTTGGAGCAGTCTATCAGGCGAGTGGTCCTTGGTGATGTGCTATCTGCAGTAGGTCCAGAATGGGTTCAGATTGCAGATGGTTGTTTTGCAGTCAAATGCAAGACAGATGCATTTCTTGATGTCAGCATGTGCGTGCCAAATGAGAATATTCGAATGCGGACAACGCTTATCATGAACAAGGATGGACATTGGGATGTTTTGGAATACGCTCAGCCCATTGCAGAGCTTGCGGATCAGCAGGCACCTTTCTCGGAGCGTGGCGAATCTCTTTCGACAGTTCGACAGAATGTGCCTGCGCACAGGCTTGGATTTACTGTGGACTCAGAGACTGAAACTGGAAGCAGCAGGGATGTGCCCATCACATCCGATGAGCCAAGCAGCGCACGGCCATCAGAAGAGAAGAAGGTTGGTTTTGAGCTTGAAGATGAGAGTGGAGAGCAAAACAGTGGGCCTGTGGATGAGCAGCAGCATGTGCCAGCGCCGCTCTCGCTAGATAGCGAGTTGGCGCAGAAAGACACT